GTTTCAAAAAGAAATCCATGTGCAGTAGAAGTATTCTTATACCCCTGTGAGATCACATACTTTCCTAAGCAAACTTGGTTGTTTTTCTTACTTCTCTTGCAGGACCTGTTTTTCAAATACACTTGGAACAACTTCTTGCACTTCCAGGTGGAACTGTGTATTGCAGCCATCCTGGCGCACTCCGTGAGTGAAAGCAAAGCGTCCGTGAGTGACGCTGAAAATAAGGATGGAACAAATGGGAACGCAGTGTCTGAAAACTCTGATACGCCAAACAGTGACAGCCCTGAGAACATCATGGTGACACATGTAAGGGTCTCTCTCTGTGTGTCTCTGTTTGGAAGTTAGGGGAGGTGGAATGGGTTGCTCCACAGGACCCCAGAGAGAAGGCTCTTGCACGACCTCTGACTTAACCAGAATCGTAGAACGACTGAGTGGGAAGGGGCCCGTGAGGCCATCAAGGCCAAAAACCCCACCCGCCCCTGCTCAAGGCAAGAATTCAAATCAGGTCTGAGAGATGGTTGTCTGAATGGCTCCAGCATCAGAGCGCTCACTACCTCCTGGGAGGATAGGTTTTCCTTTGTCGTACTGCTCGCCCCTGGTGCTTCTTCTGTCAGCGTCAGGCCCACTACTGGTTCTCAAGCTTCTGTGCCGCTTGGCACCTTCCCTGGTCCCAGCAGACCCGGGCAGCTTCCTCTAGTGGCCCAAAGTAGCTCAGCCGAGAAGCCAGTCTCAAGATCACATCTGCGGGCCGTCTCTCATCTAGCCTTCGACCTGTCCCAGTCCACAGGTGATCTGCCAGCAAAGGATCCAGCTGGCAGTCTTTGTCAAATAATGATAAATGTGTTATTTTAGGACGTAACTCTCAATATTACTTAGGTATTTCGTTTTTCTCCCTGAAAATTTAATGGGATGCATTAAAAACATTGATTAAACAGACCTGGCACCCAATTTAGACAAATAAATCCAACGACATCCAACAAATATATTCACAGAATTCAGTTAAAGGCGTAGATACCAGAGAGGAGGATAAAATAAATCTCTTTGCAGGTGGTACATTATTAATAATTAAAACCCCAAAAGTTACATTGCAGAAAATCAGAGCACATTTAAATTTATTTGAAGAAATACAACCCAGTTCAGACCAACCTGTAGAAATAAAAGATGCAAGTGACGAGTCTGCTGACCTGCAAGAAGAGAACGTTGTTCTCCATAGAATCATAGAAAAGTGACGTTGGAAGGGGCCTCCGAGGCCATCAACCCCCTGCTCAAGGCAGGAATACAAATCAAAGCAGATCTGCCAGGTGGCGATCTAAGTTTTTCTTGAATGCCTCCCAAGGTTGGAGCATTTTTCCTGATATTCAACCAAAATCTGGTTTCCTTTAACTTGAGCCCATGGTTGTGTGTCCTGCACTCTGGGATGATCGAGAAGAGATCCTGCCCCTCCTCTGTAGGACAGACTTTCAAAGATTTCAAAAGTGCTATTCATGGTCTCCATGACTGCATGCTAATAGGTAGCGTTCTCTGCTTGCGCGAATCTTTGCAATGTTCCTAGACCTTCAAAATAAGGAGATTGTTAAGAGGCCTCTTTGCGCCTCTCACGGTCCTCCCTCAGTTTCCTTTTTTTGCCACCATTCCGGAGATATCCAAGGAACCCTCCGGGCCGCCTTCTGTCTTGCTGACCTGCTGTCATGGACTCTTTGCCGCTCCATGAGTTAATTCTCTCTGGAAAAGTCCAGTAGACTTTTAGACTTTCATTTTATCGCCAGCTGTGTAGCTTTTCCCCTCATGGGGACTCCTCGGCCCTTTATGGCCTCAAAGGGCCTCTTTGAAAAATAGCACGGCCGCAGCCTTAAACGGCCCCTATCTGACGATGGCTGTGCCCTCGGCCTCTTCTGCGCCCCTGGGGGAACAGCAGGAACCCCGCCCCTGCCCGCATCGCCCCAGCTTCACTCTGACAGGGCCGCCTGAAAGAAGGAAGGAAGGAAGGTCCGCCTTTGGGAAGCCTCTCTCCTTTCAACCACGGATCCCCCTCAGGAGGCAGGCTGGGCTCTGGCCCTTGAGACTGTGCCTGCTGCCTCGGCCACGAAGCCCTCCGCTGAGGAGTTGGTTGTTCCGAAGGCCTCCGCCCCAAAACCTGAATCGTCGAGAGAAAGGCTCCTGCCCCTGCCGTCAGTTCTTCTCTCAAGAGGCCTGCTGGGGAAGAGGGATCGCCCACTTCCACCACCTGGCCCACCCAGACCGGCCGACAACCCAGTGCCTTGTCACCAGGCCCATCTCTCACCAGGCGTCCGTCCAGACAAGGACTGGTATGAGGCTGTTGATACCTGCCATTATCACCCTCACTCTCTCGGCAATCCCAGCAGTTCCCAGCAAAGGACGCCTTGGGCCTGGGTTCCGGATCTCGGTCTGCTGCCATACGCTGACCCCAGAGTGTCTCCCAAGCTGGCTTCTGTCACGATTATGCTGCTTTTGGGGATGCTGCATATCAATACCCACATCCATCCTCATTCTAGAATGATTTGGATGAGGGTGTGGATGGGACGCTCCTCAGGTTTGCAGGTGGCACTGAACGGAGTGAGGGGAGTGGTGCTTCATAAGGCAGAGTCAGGATTCAGGATTGTTGTTGTCGTTTAGTCGTGTCCGACTCTTCGTGATCCCATGGACCAGAGCACGCCAGGCCCTCCTATCTTCCACCGCCTCCCAGAGTTGTGTCAAATTCATGTTGGTTGCTTCGATGACACTGTCCAACCATCTCATCCTCGGTCGTCCCCTTCTCCTCTTGCCTTCACACTTTCCCAACATCAAAGTCTTTTCCAAGGA